TGTTTACTTATGTTTCATTGACTGTGAAAAAGAATTTGATTGTGTGGGCTGTAATAAACTGGGGATAAACTAGAGAAGAAGAATTCCAGAACACTACATTGTGCTCAATGAGAACCTGTATATGGATCAAGAGGCAGTTGTGGGAATAGAACAAGGGATACTGCATGGTTTAAAATCAGGAATTATATGTGTGGTAGGATTGGTCGCCATACTTGTTCAATCTATCTGCTAAGCAAATCATTAGAGAAGCTGGCTTATATAAATAAGAATATGGCATCACAATTGGAGGAAGCCTTATTAACAACGTAAGATATGCAGATAACACAACATTGCTAGCTGAAAGTGATGAGGAATTGAAGTACTTGGTGAAGATCCAAGATTGTAGCCTTCAGTATGGATTACAAATCAATGTACGGAAGGCCAAAATCCTCACAACTGGACAAATAGGTAACATCATGATAAATGGATAAAAGAGCAAGGATTTTGACTGGATTTTTATTGGATCCACAATCAATGCTCATGGAAGCAAAAGACGTACTACATTAGATAAATGTGCTGCACAAGACCTCTTGAGAGTAATGAAGAGCAAAGATGGTATTTTGAGGATTAAGGTGTGCCTGACCGAAGCCATGGTATTCCCCATTGCGTCATATGCATGTGAGAGTGAGACATTGAATAGGAATACCGTAGAAGAATAGATGTCTTTGGAATTGTGGTGCTGGAGAAGAACATTGAAAGTACCATGGGCTGATCTGTACTGGAAGAAGTAAGGCCAAGAGAGCTCCTTAGAGACAAGGATGGCAAGCCTTTGTCTTACATACTTAGGACGTATTTTCTGGACAGCCAGTCCCTGGAGAAGGCTATCATGCTTGGTCAAGTGGAGTGGCAGCAAAAAAGAGGGAGGCCCTCGACGAGAGGGATTAGCAAGTGGCTGCATCTAGGAGCTCAAGCAGAGGAACCATTGTGGGGATGGCTCGGGATGGGGCAGTGTTGCATCCTGTTGTGTATCGTGTCGCTGTGGGTTGGAGCCGACTATGGCATCCAACGCCAACAACAGTGTCAATGATTTCTAACTTTCCTAGATTCAGACTGGATGCATTCCAAGGTCCAGTTATTAATAGCTGTCTCCAGCTGTTTCTTCTCATTTTGAGTCAAGCCCTATCAGCAAACACAGGCCCTGAAGGCTTCCCTCCTCCAGGCTTTACTCATGATGGTTCACTCTACTTGTAGAAAGCAGCTCTTCCTCAGTCATATTTTGAGTGCCCTTTGATCTAAGAGGCTCATCTTCTGGCACCATCTCTGACAGTGTTGTGCTGACATCCACGGGGTTTCAGTATCTGACAATGTCTCAGTGCTATGCATAAGGTTTTCAGTGGCTGACTCCTCTGAAGTGGACCATCTAGTCCTTCTTCATAGTCTATTCTTAGCCCGGAGGCTATGCTGAAACCTGTTCTTTCTGGGTCCCCCTGCTGGTATTTGAAAATACCAGTGATCTAGCTTCCAACATCATAGCAACACCCAAGCCACTACAGCACAACAAACTGACAGAAAGTAGTGGAGCGTCCCTAGTAAAGCCTCAGAATTGTGAGTCTTTTCTGTGAATTCTGTATGGTCATTGCAATGAATAATTGAACCCAGAGAGTGTCATGTGAAGAACAGTTGGGGTCAGAATAGGTAAAGAAACATAAAGGAGTGGAGGCCTGTCTGACCTCTGCCTTGTGGCAATCATCCTCGGCGGGGACAGGAATTCTCCTTCTCCTTTGTACGGTCTGAGGCTCGCAGATGTGCTTTTCTCGTCACTGCCTTAGGGCTTCAAAAGAGAGTTAGACATGGATACGGCTGAGTGTATCTATATGCATATATTTAGATTTGTGTGTATAAAAATATAAACAGAAATATATATAAAGAAAAAATGTTCCATCAATTCCAACTCATGTCAACCCCATGTGTTTCAGAGTAGAACTGCTCCATAGGATATTCTGGGCTACACTATTTATGGAAATAGATCACCAGGCCTTTCTTCTGTGGTACCTGGGTGAATGGGAGCCACTAACTTTCTGGTTAAAACTTGAGCACAAACTACTTACCCTCTCCAGGGACAGATATGCACACACTCATTTATATAAAGAAACAAACCAACCGCCATTGAGTTTATGGCAACTCATCACAGCTCCCTAGGCAAGAGTAGAACTGGCTTTGATTGTCTGAGGTTGCAAATCTTTATGAGAACAGAAAGCTGTATCTTTCTCCCCAGGAGCAACTTGTGAAATCAAATTGCTCATATGTAATCCACTACACAACCAGGGCTCCATATATGTATAAGAGGGCTTAGCAAAAATCGATATTACCAATTCCATCCTTTCATGAGCTTTTTGAAGTCCGTGTGTGTGTGTGTGTGTGTGTGTGTGTGTGTGTGTGTAGTTACAAACTGAGACTGACGGAAAGCATCACCACACGAAGAGAGGATAATAAGACAGAATGAGTAGAGGCAGGAAGGCCAGTGAGCCTAACACACAGCACACAGCCGGCGCAGGACAGGGGCGGGACCACCTCATGGCCTTGAAGGCCTCTTGAAGGGGTTTGGACCTTATCCTCAGAGAAGAGGTCTGGACATCCAGTGCATGCTTTGAAGCTCTTCTTGGTGGAGTATGAAGACCAGAAGCGAGCAGGAAGGAAGGCCAGAAGGCTGATCAGAAAGTACTTGTGCTTAACACTATTTTTTCTGTGTGACTGCAACTAGTGAAAAATCATTAATCGGGCTAAGTGGTTACATTGAGCACAGAAATAAAAATCTTGTTATACTAAGAAAGAAAGGAAGGAAGGAAGGAAGGAAGGAAGGAAGGAAGGAAGGAAGGAAGGAAGAACTTGACATACTGTAGATAAAGTAGACAAGTGGCTTCTTCTACAGTGTTATCAACAGAGGATGGATTGGAAACGGATTGAGGGGCCAGCTCCCAACTTTCTCAGCTGAATGTCTGGCTAGTTAGAGCTGCTCTTAACAGGGTAGAGAAGGCTAGAGAAAGAGTAGGTTTAAATGGAGAAGGAGGGGAAATATAGAGTTCATGGTTTAATATGTTCAAGAGGTCAAGGAGACATCCAAGGGGGGAAATCAAGCAGGATGTTAAATACAGGGAGCTTCAAAAAGTCCATGGGAAAATGGGATTAAAATATAATGAAATTATACCAAGCAGCTTTTGAACCCTGGACCCCTGTGTCCATAGTAAGGAGCCCTGGTGCTGTATTGGTTCCCCCACGATCTGCAGTCCACAAGACCAGCAGTTCAAAACCACCAGCCACTCCGAAGGAGAAACACAGGGCTTTCTACTCCCCTGCAAATGTGCTGTCTCAGAAACCCACAGGGCCAGTTCTGCCCTGTCCTATAGGGTCACTGTGAGTTGGCATTGTCTCAATGGCTGTGAGTTGTACATAGTTTCAGAGCCCAGAAATCACATAGTCAAAGCATTGTCCTGTACTTGACTACATACCTTTAAATATTTTTAAAGTCTGGTGGCATCTTATCATTCAAAAACATCTTCACAGCCAATGTGGTCAATAAAAGTACACCTGGCTGTGTTACTTAACTTTACTCCCCAGACACAAAGAGCTAGAAAGAGTTTTAGAAGCCCTACTCGGTGGGTCTGACATTTCCCACACATCCAGGAAGTCAGGAACAAGGACTTCAGCGGCCCTTGTATTGGGTCACTAAGGAAAGTGAAAGGAGTCAGTGAAGGGCAGGGCTACATTGCTGGGTTGCCAGCGCCAAGGTCAGAGTTGGACAAAAGCTGCTGCTCTGCAGGAGAAACGTGATCCTGTGAAGATTCCCAGCCGCACAAACCCAATGGGGAAGTTCTATTTTGTCCTATGTTGTCATTGAGAGATGGCAGCAGCGTAAACCACTTTTTGCTGCTACTGAAAAGGGAGGAGGGCATCTAGAAAGAGACACCTGGAAATCAACTGCTAAAGTTTAGCTTTAGAAAATCTTTAAGAGCGGTTTTACTCAGACACACATGGGGCGGATGGACAGGAGTCAGAATCCACCTGACCGCAACTAGGCTTCTTTTGTTGTTTATTTTAAACTTTCTATCCGCCTTGAAATGGGCACAACTCGAGCTATCTTGCACTCAAGTAAGAAGTTCAACTTGTCTTATTTAAATTTGTTGTGGGGGAGCGGAGTTGTTATTGTCATCCCTAATTGTTGACCATATTCTGAGTTGAAAGCAAATTCTCTTGGCCATTTAACAGGAAACGGAGCATTTCTTTCTGAACCCAACGCACCCAAAGAGTGTCCATGAAATGCCTAAGACCCTGACAGCTCTTTCACTTCTTATGAAATGGCGTGGAGGCCCAGTTGGCGAGTGAGACGCCCAGAGAGCCCATTTTGCTAAAACACTAACCAAATGTGAATAAAATCCAGCTGGAACCAGATATGAACTGAGGAGACAGATCAAGGGTGGCAAGAAATAGAGAAGCAGAGAATGTCCATCCACAGAACACAGGAGGGGATCGGCCTAACAACTCCCACCCAGCAGTTAACCCAAAGCTGCCTTAGTTTCCTTGGCAACTGCTGATGGGTGCCCACCCTAGCGGGGAGAGGGAGAGGTCTAATCCCTCCTCCAGGAGCACAGCCGTGTTCTAGAGGCTGGCAGGAATCCAGCCACGAGGCGAGGCGCAGCTCAGGGGAGGTGCCCGCGGCCCAGGGAGTGCAGGGAGCAGGCCAGCGACCCAAGCGGCCTCCGCCTGCTCCCCGCCCCTGACCCCGCTACCGACTCGGGCCCAGACAGCTCCCCAGCCCCTGCCCCTCCTCTGACCCGTCCCTAACCCTGCCCCAGCCCCTGCCCCTACCGCGCCGCGCTCCACCTCAGGTCCCGCAGCCCTGTGGCCTCCACCCCCACTCCGCAGCCTCGGGCCCCGGCCCCCAGCCCCCCTGGGAGAGCCCTGGGGCGCCCCCTGCTCGCAGCCCTGTCCCGAAGCTGCGGGCGGATGGAGGGGGCGCGCTGTACCTGGGGGTCCGGTGGGAGCGGGCTCAGCCTCCTGCCTGCCACCTGCGCCAGCCGCCAGGCCTGCCTGAGACCGAAAGCGAAAGCAGCGTGCGGGGAGCGTCGGGAGGCCGAACCCGGCTGCCGGCGAGGGGGAGCCCCGGCGGAGCGGGAACCTAGGGACGGGGAGTCCCGGGGCAGGGCTGGGGGTGAGGGGTGTCCTTTCGAAAACCGGGCTTTGCAACTCCAGGGAAGCCCCCGGGTCCGAATGCGGGCGGATCGGGCGAGGAGAGGCACCCCTTTTCAGATCCGAACGTGTGTGGTGTGTGTGTGTCTGTTTTCAAGTACTTTTTCTTTTCCTTTTCTTTCTTCTTGTTTTTCTTAAAGTACTTTTTCTTGGCTAAGGATTTTCCGTACCTGCAGGTGCGGTGCAGAGGTCCCGGCTGGGGCCGACAAAAGCCCGCTAACCCGGAGCCGGGGCGTGCTCCACGGTCATTGGGTGGACTGGGTGCCCATCATGTCGTAGGCGAAGCGCTATTGGCTCTTAAGAAACCGGAACCTAGAGGATTGTAGCCCAGCGGAGGAGGGGCGTAAATGACGGAGGCCTTGAGAACTGCCCGCCACTACCAGAGGCGGCTGCACCCCTTTGATTTGCTGCTCCCCGTTTTCAAATGTTCCCTCTACTCTTTCAAAACTGTGTCCCTGCTCCTCACCCTCCTTACGTCATTTAGACCGGATGAAATGTCCAAAAAGCCCGTGTTGAAACAGCTGAGGTTTGGAGGTTCCAACCATAAAAGCACAAATGTTCAAAGGCACTGATATCTACAAGTTCATTACTGAAGTGGGCCCCTAAAGAATCGAGTTTCCTTTCAGTATCTAGGATGCTTTCTTGAAGAAAGAAAAGCCCCTAGGGGAAGAAAAAAAAAGCCCCCAGAGATCACGTTGGGAAACGCCGAGGGCCGCAAAACGGCCTAGAAGATGCTGGTAGAGGAGACAACGGAGAAGGTGGTTGAACTGACAAGAAAGGCGCTACTGCAAATGTGTGAAAAGTCAGTAAGGAGAGAGCCTAGAACTGCTCTCCCTTGCTCAACCTTTAGTCTCAGTTATTCCGGCGATGAGCTCCTCTTCAAACTACAAGTGCACTATGAACAAGGGTGATGAAACGGAGAAGGTGGCAGGGTACCAGGGCTGTAGTGCTGTCCTAAACAAATAAACAAAAAAAAAAACCCCACTGAGCCGATGCCAACTCATAGCATCAGAAAACCATAATTTACTATGCCAGAAATAACAAAAACAAGAGGAGTGACCTGGCATTCACTGTCAGAAAGACTTAAATCCATTATGAAGTACAATGGTGATTGTGAGAGGATTATATCTATCCCCCTAAAAGGAACTTCAATCAATACAAGTATTATTCAAAGTTATGTATCACAAAAGCTAGTGATGAAGAAATTGAAAAATTCTACCCAGAACTTTAGTTTGAAATCAAACATGCAATCAAGATGTATAGATACTTACTGGTGATTAGAATGCAAACACTGGAAACAAAGAGGAAGAGTAATTGGGAAAATATGGACTTGGTAATAGAAATGAAGCTGGAGATCGAATTACAGAATTTTGCAAAACCAACACATTGTGTGTAACAAATACTTTTTTTCAACAACACAAAAAGTGACTATATAAATGCACTTTCCCAGATGGAAGACACAGAAATCAAACGGACTACATCCGTGGGAAAACACAATGGAGAAGCCCAATATCAGTTGCTAAAACCAGGCCAGGGGCCGACTGTGGACAGACCATCAATTGGCTCATATGTAAGTTCAGGTTAAAGTTGAAGAAAATTAAAACAAATCCACTAGAGCCAAACATGACCTTGAGTATGTCCCACCTGAATTTTGAGACCATCTAAAGAACAGATTTTTTTGCATTGAACACTAATGACAGAAGACCAGATGAGCTATGGGAGGATATCAAGAACATTGTTCATGACGAAAGGAAAGGTCGTAAAAAAGACAGGGGCAAGGGGATCAAAGTGGATGTCAGAAGAAACTCTGAAATTTGCTCTTAATCATAGCTAGGTAGCTAAGGCAAATGGAAGAAACAATGAAGTCAAAGTACTGAATAGAAAATTTCAAAGGGCAGCTCAAGAAGACAAAGGCAAATATTATAATGAAGCATGCAAAGACCTAGAGTCAGAAAGCCTAAAGGAAAGAACACGCTCAGTGTATATGAAACTGAAAGAACTCAGCATTCAAGCCTTGAGTTGTCATCTTGAAAGATTCTGTAGACAAAATATTGAGTAATGTAGGAAGCATTAAGCAAAGATGGAAAGAATCCACAGAGTCACTTTACCAGAAAGAACTAGTCTTTAGTCCATCACTTCAGGAGGTAGCATATGCGCAAGCTCCAACCGTGCTGAAGGAAGAGGTTCGAGCTGCACTGAAAGCATTAACCAAAAGCAAAGCTCCAGGAATTGACGGAGCCTTGAAATGTTTCTGCAAGCTGGTGAAGCCCTGGAAGCACTCACTCTTCCACATCAGGAAACTTGCAAGACAGCTACTTGGCCAACTAACTGGAAGAGATCCATATTTGTGTCCATCCCAAAGAAAGGTGGCCCAATAAAATGCTCAAATTATAGAAAAATATCAATGATACCACATGCAAGTAAAATCTTGCTAAAGATCATCTAACAACCGTTGCAGCCGTAGCTGCCTGAGGTTCAGGTGGGATCCAGAAGAGGGCGTGGGACAAGGAATATCATTGCTGACATCAGATGGCTCCTGACTGGAAGCAGAGATTAACAGAAAAATGTTTACTTGTATTTTATGAACTATGCCAAGGCTTTCAGCTGTGTGAACCATAACAGACTATTGATAACCTTGAGAAGAATGGGAATTCCGGAACACTTCATTGTATTCCTTCAGAACCTGCACATGGATTAAGAAGCTGCTGTGCCGATGGAGCAAGGGAACACTGCTTTTACAATCAGGAAAGGTGTACATCAGGGCTGTATCCTCTCCTCATACGTGCTCAAACTGTATGCTGAGCAAATAATCAGAGAAACTGGATTATATGAGGAAAACACAGCATCAGGATTGGAAGAAGGCTTTTTTTTGCGGGGACAGGGGGCAGCAATTTTTAAAATATTATTGAATTTATTTTTCTGCTAGTCGACCTTTTTTCATATATTTACTTCATTCAGCAGGAAGAAAGAGTAAAAGACTTTAAACTGCTTTGAGTACTTAGAATCATTAGTACAAACACAACAGCAAGTGAGTAAATGTTCTGTAATTTTCAGGCTTTATAGAATTTATATTTGGTACACTTTTCTTTTTTAAGAATATGACTGATGAAATGTGCTACTGAATTCAAAGCAGCAATGGACTAGAAAGAGCCAGTCACAGCGAGTAGCTGAAAACTCTCCCAGGGCCTCTTTGCCTTTACCACTTTACAATAGCCAGACACATTTTCCAACTGCAGGCTAGCAAGATCCGCATGGATAACCTTTTCCTTTCTACCTTTTGTGGTTTCCTTGTTGGTCAGAATGATTTGGTATACATAGCACTTTCTTCTCTTCCATAATGCATGGAATTTAAACTCAAATTTAATGTTTTTTAGTTTTAAAATCATGTATTCTCTCTTTAGAGCTGTTAATATTTGCCCCAATCCTGGGCCAAATCACAAGAGGCATTAGTCACCTTACTACAGGAAACAATGAACTCTAATGTTACATTAAATGAGTGTCTGTACTAGATAATAACAGAGGTATGCTTTTACTTACATATTTTTTTAATTTTTATGTTTTATTAGCACTTCATCCACATGTCATAGAATTCAATCATACCAAGAGTTGTACAGTTGTCATATTCAATTCTAGAACATTTTCTTCTCCCTTGTAGTGATTGTTTTTCCTATAAATATTTTTCTAATTGTGGCAAGAATATAGACAGTAGCACATTCTCCAGTTCCACAACTTCTACTTGTATAATTCAGTGTCATTGATTATGCTCTTCATATTGTACAACCATTATTGATATCCTTTTCCAAATTATTCTACCACCGTTGACATGAACTCAGTGCCCCTACACAGCAACTTTTTCCGTATCACCAAGCTAACCAGTGGTCAATTTTGTTTTGTTTTTCATGGTTTTCTTGATAGTGTATTCACATATCTTATATTTTCACATTAAATTGCTTTTAAAATGAGTTGTATAATCACCATCAGTTCTAGCGTTCCCGCCCCCTTCCCTGTTCACTATTTGCTCCACAAATCCCCTCACCCTCTTTATCTCCACCTCCCACCCCAACACCCATATAAACCATTGCTTCAGTTATTATCTCTATGCATCTACTCCTTCTGTGCTTCCCAAACTGGGAAAACCAACAGAAACAATAAAGAAGAAAAACAAAATTAAGTGGTAAGGAGAAAACAACAATAATAATATAAAGGTAAAAATACAAATAACGAGTAAGACAGAAAAAACCACCATCAGTATTTAAAAAGCCATGGAAGAAATTTTTGTCATGGAACAAAAAATACTGTATCCTAGAGCAAATCCAGGTTGGGTCAAGGAGGAGGTCAACTGACCAAGCATCAAGTTTGATCCAGCATAATCCAGTTTACAATGTTCCCTGTCTGATAGTAAAGCTATTCAAGACCCTTGCCTAGGCTAGAGGGGCTCTCCAAGGGCTGCATCTGACTAGATACTCTGCACATGGGTTGGGGCTCTCACTGTGCTCCACAGCCATCTACAAATTGGTTATTCGCACGTTAAGTTCGGATACTTTTCCCTTCATCATATTTGGACTTTGTTGTCGTCGTCTTTGGCTCACACAAGCTGGTGTGCTTCTTCCATGTGGACTGCCCAACAGATCAAAACCTGTCACACCAGTCCCCTCATCCTCTTTATCTCCACCTCCCCCCCCCCACACACCCATATAAACCATTGCTTCCGTTATTATCTCTATGCATCTGCTCCTTCTGTGCTTCCCAAACTGGGAAAACCAACATGGGGGGGGGGCGCATAGAGGTACTAAATAGAAGGGGAGTCTGGGTCCTTT